GAAATTTTGGAAAAATAAAGAAAGTAGGTGGTTTATAAAGGAATATTTAAGTTAACAGCTGGTTTCTTTCCTCTTTGGCTTAGTCAAGGGTTATGAATTATTCCCAATGATCAGGCCAGCAGTTGTGTTATTCACATTGTCATGGAGGCTACAAATAGGAAATAAATGTTTATTGTTTAAATTGGCAGCATAATTAAAAATACATTTTAGTGCTAAAGAATGGACTGAGTTTGTTTTGCTTAAGTGCAATTTGCAGTGAGTTTTTTGGAGGCTGTAAGTCCAAGAGAGATTTCTCGCCGTCCCTTACCAAACACACATTGTCCCCATGTGGAACCCACTAAACTGAACTTTGCCTATAACTGTTCTCTCTGACCCCTTCATCCAGGCATTACACCTTAATGATGCTCACTGAGTGGAAGCCACTGCCAGTCTCTCCTACAGCCTCCCATATTCTCCGATACTGTTCCTTATAACTCCCATAGGAATGCAGTTCTCCTGTTGTCGCCATTGCCCCCATCTCTGCAAACTCCTGCTTTCCCACCCCTCCAGCCTTGAGTCCTCCACACCTGTTGACATTATATTCCTGTTGGTACCCCCTGGAATGATCCATGTTACACTCCTTGGACTGTATTCACCCCAGACCTCTGACTGACCTCGACGAGCAATCGCTGGACATGACTGACCATCCCCCTGACTGTTGCCTTTGAAGCTCTCTGGTTGATGCTATGAGATTCTCCTAACTGCTGCTGATCACCATACAGGAGTGACCACTGCTTAGTCTCCAGACTGTAGTCAGACAGATCCCCTAAATGTGAGTGGCCCAAGTAAACAACTAAACATGGGCAAGTCCCTGGACCGAGTGCGGACAATGTCTGTAACTGATGGAAGCGTGGCCTCCTAAAATGACACTGGTACCCTCGTGACTGGGCTTTTAACTAACGCCTATCCATTTTCAGAGGTGGCCATTTAGTCGAATACACATGCAGTGCATTCGCTACATGGGCAGCTATCACAGACATTACATGGATGTCTCAGTGTGCTGCACATTAAGATATTCCCCTACCCCTGGCTAGCACAACAAGCAGCATGTGTGTTTGTGCTAAACAACACATTAATATGGCAGTATTGGTAGTCTTTAGTCCTGGTTAATGCACCAATACACTAACAGGCATGGCAAGACCTGGATGCTGCAAACATTAAGGCAGGCATGAGGTGAGCGAACGTTAACACATAAAGTGACCATCCCTGAGGAGCAGCTCGGCCGGTCCATGAGCTGGTTCCTGCTTTCATGAGCAAGTCTCTCTCCCTCAATGCTAGATGCCAGCAGGCCCTGCCATGCAGCTCTGTGCTTCATGGGCATGTGGAAGGGTATCAGATAGGTGCTGTGATGGTGATGAGGGGTTGGTAGTTATCGGATGTCAAAGTCTGTGGGTGAGGGTGCATGCCTGTGGCTTGTGCACTGTGGAGCTGTTTCATCCGAGGGAACATGGCAGTCCTTTGGAGTAAACGGTGAGCTGAGTTGAGATAGACCTCAATGGATTCTCGTGGAAGTTTATCACAAATCTCACCATAGCCCACCTCACTCAGAGCCCTGTACAATTGTACCCTGTTTGTTGAGGCGTTATATCTTATTAGGCAACAGAATGGCAGTACACAGTTCCTCCACAGATATACTACCTTTTCCACATCCATTTAGAGGAAATATGTATTAACCATCACAAACAATATTTTGGTTGCATATCTGTGATTGTTATTACTCTGAATACGTATACCTCCTACTCAGTCATGCATGCAAACATGACTTGGGCAGGGCAATTAATTGATCAATTTAAATTTGGCTCTCCCTGTGGAATGAGGATCCCAAATTAAAATGCCGTTCCTGCTGTGGGGCTTTCCTGGAATTCACAGGGAACTGAGCAGTGAAAGGGAGGCAGCAGCTTCCACAATGTCCACACTTTTATCAACTCTCAGTGGATCAGTGACAACAGCTCTTCCAGGAAACCTCCAGCTCACCCCTCCATATCGTAGCCTCTTTCCATCTTTCATAGTATGGTTGATCTTCTCATTCCCAAACACAATCCCTTCTCTCTCTTCCTGAAATCCTCACCTTCCTATCTCCCAATATATATTGGCACTAGGATCTCTGATCCTGTTGAAATGGGATATGTTTGATATGAGGTTTGCTGGCAAATGCCATTTCTCTCTGCTTTGTTTCCAAGTGGCAGCTGAGAATTGGTTCCAATTCATATGAACATAGGAACAGGAGTAGGCCATTCAACCCGTTATGCCTGTTCCACCTTTCAATAAGATCATGGCTGACCTGTGGCCTAATTCCTTATGCTTACCATTTGTGAATATCCCTTCATATTTTTGTTTAACAAAAATTTATCTATTGCAGCCCTTATAGGGCACCGGTGTTGAGGATAATGGTAGAGGAGGTATTGTCTCCTACTCTCATTGATTGCAGTCTATGGGTCAGAAAGTCAAGGAGTCAGTTCTGGAGTAGGGAGCCAAGACCTCGGTCTTAGAATTTAGAAATGGGTTTGTTTGGAAGTATGGCATTGAAAGTGGAACGGTAGACAATTAGTTGGAGACTGACATAGATATTCTTGTTATCCAGATGTTCCAGGGATGACTGTAGGACTGGGGAGAGGGGAGATGAGTTCAAGGGGAACTAGGGATAGGCAAAAGTGCTGCCCCATCAGCAATGCCCATATCCCCTGAATGGATTAAAAAACATAATAATTCTGGGTATCCAAATGATGTGAGTTGGTTGGGTGGAGCTGGTTAGGCCTGGAATTGGACATGCACTAGGGTCTTTGAGTCTTCTCTGGGCCTGGTAGGTCTAGGAAAATAATTCTAACTTTTTATTTGTTTTACATATATACAAGAGTTTGATGCAGAGTGCAGCTTCTCTAATAGTCTCCATTTCAATTCTTTCTGATTGCACTGCTCATTACATGATTACATGATAAGTTAGACCACTGAGTGATTTACTTCAATACTTTACTCTATATTGCCTGCTTCCCTCTCAAGATAAATATAATCTTCTTAGTGCTGTAGTAAAAAGTGTTACGAAAACAATTTTCACCTTCAGTGTGTATTACAAAATTTGGGCCTTAAAATCTTTGTCGGCTTCATTGGACCAAGAAAGAAAAGAAATTATGGAAGTCAATCATAAGATCTCCATTTTTATAAAATCGTATATATTTTCAATATATTGAATATATATTTTCAAGTATAAATTTTTTGCATACATCAATTTTAGGCAATTCAATTAAAATTCCTTTCACAATGTTCAGAAACACCAGAATCACTTTTCCACTAAAAAAATAAGAAAATGCTTTTGGTTTAGCGGCTACTGTTCTTAGATTAACATGTGTCATTCAACATACTTTGTATTCAAAAGTGATTTGCAATGTTAACCTTGCTTGATAGTATGTTTCATGGCCTGGACATTTAGCTCGATTAAAAAGAAATATTAAAAAATTCAGAACTTATGAAAACAAAAACTTTTGTAAATAAACATTCCTCAAAAATATCCAAAAGCTAAACAACTTTACGATTCCTTTCATAATTTCTAGTCTTTTTGTGACATGTGGTTGATTTCTCTGCAGATCTGACAATTACTCATCTTGTTTCTGTTTAGAGATTTTATCGTTCGACCAATAAAAAAATGAATAGATCCAAATATTGTGATAAATAAATGTGAAAATTATAAAATAAAAAAAGTCAACTACACTATGAAGATCTCTGGTCATCGCTGATGTTCAAGAAAAGTAGACATGGTTTCAATGAACTAAAATCCAGCCACTCACTGCACAAAAATTTTGATATGTAGATGATTGTTACATTTGGATCTACAGCTGCCTGTGAAAACTTTCTTACATGTCTTAATGGGCTCCATCCTGTGTTCAAATTCACCTTTAAAACAGAGCAGTCAAATGAGTTTCCCTTCCTTGATTGAATCAGTTGAGAAATCGGCCAAGATGTTCTTTATTACTGTCTACTGCAAACCAACCTTTGCTGCTCAATTGGGTTTCCTACGGTTCCTCGCATTAAGCTGGGCCTTAACATCAACCTTGAAAGTCGGGACTGAACTGTTCGCTCACCGTGCAAGCTTGATGTTGAACCAGGTTGAGACAAAGCCACTGTGCAGGATAACATCTATGCTGTACATGGAGTGAACTCGGGAACAGGCCACTTATGGCTCTATAAAGTGCCACAGTCCTATGTCAGATTAGTCTGGGAGAGCAAATTATCTTAAAGATTTTAACAAGAAGCAAATACTGCTGTAAATCAGAATCCACTTACAAACCAGCTTCTCATACAGTACAAAATATTGTTTCCCTTTACATTTGCTATTCTTGTTGATGAACTGATGGGTACAAGCCAAAATCTTTGACAGGATGTGTCTTTTTTCAGCAATATGTAAAGTCAGTACAATCAAACAATTACAGTACAATTGGTTGCAGCTCTTAACTGATCCGACAAAACACAGCAGAATATATGAAGCACGTTTACTAAGCAATTCTGATAATTAGTAACAAAATTATTCTGCACAAAAGTTTGATAATTTCATAAAATCATACAGTACAGAAGAGGCTCCAACGCCCATCAAGACTTTATTGCCAAAAATATATGGCTACCTACACTACTCCCACTTTCCCAAATTAGGCCCGTAGCCTTGAATATTATGACTCGTCAAGTGCTTATCCAAATACTTTTTAAAGGTTGTGAGGTTCCAGCCTCAACTACCCTCCCAGGCAATGCATTCCAGACTCCCACAACCTTCTGGGTGAAAAAGGTTTTCCTCAAGTCCCCTTTCAACCTCCTGCCTTTCACTTTAAAATTATGATCCCTGGATATTGACCTTTCAATTGAGAGAGACAGCTGCTTTCTATTCACCCTGTCCATGCCCCTCATAATCTTATTGACCTCTATCAGGGTCCCCCCTCAAGCTTTTCTGCTCCAAAGAAAACAACCCAAGCTTATCAAACCTCTCTTCATAGCTGAAATGCTCCATTCCAGGCAACGTCCTGATGAATCTCCTCTGCATGCCCTCCAGTACCTATAGTGTCGTGACCAGAACTGTACGCAATACTCTAACTGTGGCCAAACTAAAGCTTATCCAGGAAATTCCTGAACTTAGTTGTTTACTGTTAGATAAATGTGAAGAAAATGTTATCTTGTTAAATTGTTAAATGACAGAAAATACAAATAGTAATTTTCTAAATCCCATTTGATAATCATGAAGAAAAAATTCTGAGATTGAACTCTGACAGCAAAGCTCAGTATATGGGTTTGAGTACTCGTGACGTTGATATTACCAATCATCCACCACCAGAAATTCTTCTCATTGGAACAATTGATTAGCATTCTTTATCAAAGTAAAATGAAACTGATTTGGCATGGGCCTACAGCTAAGCTGAAAGAGTATGCGCTGTACTGACTGACGATCTGGTGAAACTGTTCCCATTTACTTACACACTTCTCCATTTGGACTAAGCTGGCAGACAGGAAAATATAATTCAACATTTTTATATGTAGGGAAATAACGTGACTGACCACTGGAGGTGGTTATCAAGTTTAATCAGAGATTGTTTTATAGACACCCATTAGTTATATGAAAGTACAAGTTGTCCCCAAACAGAAACAACACTTTTGCTATTATTCTGTCGAGGCAGGATTTGAAATATGACTGTGGCTGTAGTGACATTTTATGGGGAAATATGAACGGTCCTGCATGTTTTCGAAGGATGTTTCTCAAGACTTTTCTATTACTTTACTTTTGGCAGGGATAACACTTTCTCAGAGGCATTCTGTTTCCAATTTTCTGACACTTCGTCAAACTAATTTCAACGGTTCTGCGTCAATTAATCTGAGGAAATGGTGCAAATATTGAGTACATTGCTGATTGTTTCATTTGATTTCTTGAATTTTGTCTTGTGGTTGCTCTGCGTGTGTGCATTCCACTTCACAAAGCATGAAAAAAAGGACAGAGATTATTTTGCCCATGGTACACATTTCCAGCTATCAGGGGGTGATTGGGCTGAGGAATGACTCTTTCGTCTTCTTTCAGTCTTTCATTGGGTTCACATGACACCTAAATCACTCATAAAGGCAACAGAGATATTGATGAATTAGATTTATCAGGGACTTTGTGTCATGATTGGAGGGTTTTATTTTTATCAGAGGCAATAATTCCAACATAATCTTCAAATACAATCTACTGCTCTCCTTAAGAATGAAAATCTGGCAGCCTCTTCATCTCCGATGAAGTTACGGTAGTGAAATTAGAGCAACTCTGAGGAAACTGTAGGCCATATAGCTGAAACAAAGTGAAAATGTTAAATTAAATCTATCTAGCACAATAACTTGATTTATTTTTTAAATTCAATTTTCTTTGCCTTTAGTAATTTTGTTAAGCTTTTCTTTACATTACAGTCTCACCGTCTCCCAAAAACATTGGCTTCGACTTGATAATAATGCCAGGATCATGAATGTACAAACTGAAGGCAAATCCAGCACATTCTCTGTGAAAAGTGCAAACAGATTCCTAGGACCATCCATGGTTTTCAGCCATTTTCCCTCCAGGATAGTTTTTCTTCAGCTTCCAGTATTTATCACAAATTATGAAAGGTGCATTAAATAATATAATGGATGACGTATTACAGTCATTTGCTTTTCCATTCTTATATTTTTGATTCCTGATGCAAGACATAAAAATGGATGTGGAAAAATAGACCACAGGTTTGAGGTGCCTCCCGTTCTCCTGCTTCTAGTCCTGCCAAACTGGCTGAATTGTTGCTGTTTTATTTTGAACAGCTTCCTGACTGGTTCTGTGTGGTCCAATAGCTTGAAAAAGAAGATAAGAAGAATATCATGATGAATCTACATCTGGCATCTGACCTTTAGCCTCCCTGTCTCTGACACTTTTTCTTAGCTGCCTCCCCAGCAACTCCAATGTTTCCCCTTCAAAGGAGGGAGAAAGACAACAGATTCGAAAGCCATGACAAGTGGACAGTCATCCCGGTACTTTACAGGCTCCTGTCTGCTTTAAGTGGAAAGTGAATCCACTGTGATTCTCCTCTGATTCCCATGATGCATTATGATTCAAGGAGATGTGCAGGCTGATCACAATGATGACAATTAACACAGCACACAAATAATTAAATATTATGTGGACGAGTTTTGAAAAGGATATACATGCTTCAAGTGGAATAACATACTGTAGAAAGTTGACAACTTAGATAGAATAATAAACTCTTTGAGCACTTTGCCACAGTCAGGGTAAGATGGGTGAAGACATAAATTTAGTTGAGGGAATGTAATCCTAGAAGATGTGGCTGATCTTTTTTATCTTGTCAGATATAGACATAAAATGGTGTAGTGGAGTTGGAGAGGGGAGGTTGGAGCTGAGAAGGATTGGTGTCACCATGGAACTGGCACTAGGTTTAAAGTCAATGCCTTGCAATGTGCTTCCTTTAACTGGTTTACTGATCTCAATGGAACCCTTCTTCCTGGATTCTGACTTTTGATTCTTGAGTTCCATATCAAGTGTCCACAGTTTCGCAGGAAATAAAATTGTATCCGGTAAATCTTTTCCCAATTACCAAGTGATGAATGCCCAACTTACAGGTGTCAAAAGCACCTGCAGTTCAGTGAAAATATTTGGATGAAATTGGTTTTATAATATTTGCTGGGATCATTACCAAATATTGTGGATAGGTGAAACTCATCTGAACTCACAGTGATTCTGACAGACAGGAAATCTGGGCTAAAATAAGAGCTGATTTTAGAATCATTTCACCATTTCCAGAGAGCTGCACAAGGAAGGAAACTAATCACCTCCCTCACATCCTCCTCACTCATGTTAATCTCATTCTTGCTTGGCTCACTCCTGGACATCTCCCTCTTGTGCAACTCGACCCTGAATATGTGTTTACTCTTCCGCTCCAGTGTTTATAGGTGCTTATTGACCTGTTCCAAACTATCAGTGTAGTGGATGGTGCTCAACTTCCTCTCCTTGTATGGTGTCAAACACATTAACTGTGTGTTTCAGGGTTTTATAATCCAAGATTGAAAACACCTTTACCCACAGAAGCTACATATGTGCCATAGGACAGCTGAGAAACCATCAGATGCGACAAAAGCTAGTTTAAACATACACTGTGATGTTAAGTGTGTGAGTTTTAGTGTTATTTTGATATCATTTATTTTTGAGCTTGGAGTTTTTAATTTGAACAAGTGACATCTGGGTTTTCTGTATGTGTGAAGAAATTTAAAAACTAACTCATAAGTCATTTTATAGTTAAGGTGACTGATTTTACAACAGTGGGAGAGAAAGACATCCTGGAGAGAAATGAGTTTTTGTTTACATTGAGAGAAGTTTACTAATGAGCAAAGTAAGCAGTTATGCATTAGGTTCCAGTTTGGAAGATCACAGCTTGATTTATTTTTTCTTCTGATTAGGGGAACACCCATAGCTTGGAAAAAAAATTATTTTAAGTTTTTTAGGTTAAGATTTTGGCTGAAATTGTATGAAAAAGCAGTTGCTCCAGAGAAAGAAAGTTAGTTACAATTGTTAAGAAATAGATTACCATTGTATAAGAGGTTCAGTCAGCAGTGTTTGATTAAACCATGCAGGACTCATTTGAAGCTCAGAAAGTTTAAGCTCAATTTTATGAAGACACTGGGAAAAAGCTATCAGATTCTCATGACTAAGAGACACACTTAAGCTTGACTCACTCTTCGCTCAATAAATGTTGAAGAAATTGACATTCTCTTTGGTCTGAGTACAAAAAAGGGATATTTTGGGAATTAATGGGATTATGTATTTATTATGTGTTTCAACATATTTAAATTGGCATTATATGTAAATAATTTAGTTTATTCTATTTTATCCTCATTTCTTTTGTGTAATAAACTTTGTTTTTATTGATAAAACATTGAGTGATTATATCTCAGTGAGAAATCACTTTGGTAAAATGAAAAAGGCAAAAGCAAAATATTCTCTATCAAGTCAGATTTCAGCCTGGGATCTAACTTGTCCAGTAATGACATCAACTTGGGATCATAACCACCTGAACTGTTTTTCAAACATGCTTCTGTTTGCCAAGACTCTGGAAACCTCATTGTTCAAATGAAATTTCAGATCAAGTTAAAAGGAAGCATAAAAAACAGCTCATTTCCATCTTCTCTGAATATTCCTGGTCCAATAATTATCTATTTGCATCTAATTATGAAATATTTGTGTCTGACAAATAGATACTGTGCTGACATCTAAAAACACTTGCAAAAAAATTCAGAAGAGGACAGACTGGAGCCAACTGTCCTCCCATTTTAAAACGCAAGTTTTTTACTCCCAGTCCACATCTGACCCACTCTTTCCTGAGTGTTAAAGTTCCCTGCAATGTCTCATTTTTGGAATAGTGGGTGAGATTCTGAACCCTATTGATAACCATTGCAAACAAATGTCCCTGTGTTAAAATCGTGGCCAGTGTTTAATGCATTATTTTCTACTCTAACTCACCAGTAGAGCTCCTCGGAAGGGTAAGGAAATTTGATATGTCCACAAGAACTCTTGCCAATTTCTATAGATGCATCCCAGAAGACATCCTACAAGAATGCTTCACAGCATTGTATAACAACTGCTTTTATCAAGACCGCAAGAAACTACGAAGAGCCGTGAACACAGTCCAGTCCATCACACAAACCAACCTTCCACTCATTGACTCCATCTACACTTCCTGCTGCCTCGGGAAAGCAATCAACATGATCAAAGACCCCTCGCATTCCGGTTATACTCTCTTCTACTGTCATCTGTCAGGCAGAAGATTTAAAAGTTTGAATACTCATATGAATAGGTTCAAGAACTTTTGAAAGATTAATGTTGACCCCTCTCTCTGCACCTTCTCTGTGGCTGTAACACTATATTCTGCACTCTGTTCTGCTCCCCTGATGCACTTAGTATGATGCGATCTCCCTGTGTAGCACGCAAAACAGCACTTTTCACTGTATGTTGATACATGTGACAACAATAAGTCAAACTCAAACTCAAACGAGAGGTCGATGGGAAT